TGTTAAAAAAAAGAGTTTTGTGGCAAAATCATAAGTTAAAAATGGTGGTCTTGGAAACAAATAAACTTCTGCATTTAAAATTCAACCATCCATTCCAGAGAAGAACATAAAAATTCAAACTCAATTACCAGGACATCAGCAACAAGAGATGACATGCAAAGGATATGAAGAGGGAACCAGAACGTGGATTCAGAGGGACCTTCATCATCGAACTCTGAGAGCTCCCCAGGGAGGCTTACATGGATGAGAAGGTTGTTAACTGGAAACCTGTGGCCACTTCTGATGGGAGGGAGGTCTTGGCTTTGCTCTTAATAATCCTTTGACTGCAGAGTCTGTCCTTGAAGTCTAGGCTTTGTCTCTGTAGCTTTTCAGATGCAAGGCTTGACAATAAGACCCTCAGTGTTCCTAAGACAGATAACCACCCCCATCATGAACATGGCATATGATGATTTCTAAATCTAGACACACTGTAATAGTGAGTATTTCCACAGTCCTTCAGATGTTTTCACGCTGCAGCACTATGGCTTTCCTGGGGTTTCCCTCACTCCATTAGGCATGTGTCTCAGTCAGCTTGGGCTAGTGTAACAGAATATGAAGGATGGATGACTTAGGCAACAGACTTCTTTTCTCACAGTTTTGGAGACTGGTAAATCCAAGATCAAGGTGCCAGGGGATTCAGTTACTAGTATGGACCCTCATTCTGGCTAACAGATAGCTGCCTTCCGTGTGCTTATGTGGCCTTTCTTCATTGAGTGTACTCAGAGATAGATAAATAGATAGCTATGTTCCTCTTCATATAAATGCATCAATCACATCATGCGGGCTCAGGATCTCATCCTCAAGACTTAATCTAAATATAATTATCTCCCAAAGGTCACAACTCCAAGTAAACGGGAGATAGGGATTCAACATATGTTCTGTGGGGTAAGCATAAACATTCAGTGCCTAACAATATTCTTTACTGCAACTTTTTATACTACATCCTTTTCAAGGCACTATAAATCACTTCTCTATCTGTTGGAATTCCCACTTGACAGTTGTGTCTGTGGTGGCAGGATCCCCATCTGCTCAGAACACCTCTGTGTCATCCACACCGAGCAGAACAGATGACTTGCAGGTGGCTCAGTATTTCAGTTTACAGAGGTAAATTAAACATTGCATCAACTTCCCTTTCTTTATTCAACATAGAGACATAAGTATACAAAACATGGTTTGGCCTTTTGTAGACCGAAATTCTTTTGTAGCACCCTGCCATATAGAGATAAAATTGATTTGAGTCTTGCCTACTGATGTATCTCCATCTCTTTGCTAGTTCTACTCACAAATCTGTGAATATGACATGTGACTTCTTTACAGTTCGCCAACATATGAGATAACTTGTTACCTTAGTTATGTGTATCTCTGTGTGGGTGGTCGAGGAATTTTAAGGAAATCCCAATCCCCTTGCCTATAATGAACCTCCAGAATTAAGTGTTTGGAGATAACTAGTATAATGGCAAAGAAAAATGTATATTGCCCTCTGTATGTGTGGCTTTTTTCTTTCTTAGCTCACTCATCACTCTAGATAGAAAAATAAGAGGTCAGGAAAAAATAGCTAATCTTTATGGAGCCTGTAGTTTGCTCCAATAATGGTTAATTCTTCAGAGTATTGCTGGGCCTCCTGGTTATTGCATTTAACATGCAGGAGAAATTAAACACAGGGTCCCTCCAACCACCTTTTCCTGAAGATTTTCTACATGCTTGATGAGGCACTTTGCACTTCAGAGATTTGTAAAGTTCAGAGGTTTATGGTATTTGTTTTAATATGAAGCTAAGACAATTACAAAGCATGATTTGAATTGACAGCAAATTTATGCAATGTTCAGAATCCAGGAGAGGGGTACATACCGGGTGACACCTAGGAAATCCAGGTCTTCACGGAAGCAAGGATTCTGGGTTGGAGGTGTTGGAGAAGATCCTGAAATTAAAATCAGTGAAGCAAAAGTTACATTCATTTATCCAAGAGTGAGTTCTTAAAATTTTAAGTATTACAGAAGTAAATTTGAAAACTTTGTAAAATTGATTTCTAATATTCTATGGTTTTCTGATTATATTCTGCCCATTCCTTCTTTTCTACACATATTTTTACACATTTACAAAAAATTTAAGGAATTCCAACTAACTTTCAAAAACAATGAAAGAACATATGTTATGTTCTGTGTGGTTTGGAGAACTGACTAAAGAGAAGAAAATTTACATTTTTAAGACCATATAGTAATCACAATGATAGCCAAATTTATAGGGTATTGATGAAGAAGCTTCAGGAATACCTCAGTGTGAAGACTGTTAGCCTGAACACTGACAACAGTGCTGGGATCCTGGAGTAGGAAGAAGTCCAGTGGCATGTGGAGGAGTAGAATTGTCACTGCTGGTCTGGGGGAGAAGGAGTAAAGGGCAAGGAACACAAATACAGGGGCACAATGAGAAGTTACTCTTGCAAGTTGACTGACTAGTGTGGACACAGTCAATTCTGGCACAAATATATGTTCAAGAAGTTCTAAATTTTTAAATTAGCTCCATGAAAACTGAACTTGAAGTGCAAAGGGCCCATTTTACAACTGGTATAAACACATCCATCATATTCATTTCAAAATCTCACTGGATCAAACAACACATTTAAAAATTAGAATAAAGAAAGCTGTATCATGTAAAATTCATGGAAATGTCAAACGTAACATGAGATGCAGAGCAAGGTTCCCTGCCCTTGATACTCAAGAGATGTAATGCAGCTGAAAATTATAAAAATATCACAACAGGAAAAATTTACTAAAATCTGTACTTCATAACAGAAGTGGCATTCTCATTCTAATAACAAAACAGTTACACTCAACATTATTTAATTGATAACTATATGAAAATTTACTAAGAATATAAATAGACTCAAACAGAATGGAAAGGCATAATTACTAAAATGATGAACTTGGGTTTCACATAATATTTTAGGAGTATAAATATGAATCTGTAAACATAAGTTAAAATTTGGACACAATTAAAAATGTGAAACAAACTGCCTTCAAGGTTCCTTTTCTAAGTAGATGGAATAAACACACTCCACCCTGTCTCTCTCGCTGAATGTGGCTATAAAAGTTTGGTAAAATGTGTGGAACAACTATTTGAAGACTCTAAAAGTAAATGGTAATGGGGAATCAAGGAAGAAACTGTATTGCAAAGTATTACTAAATTACTTAACATCCAGAACCCAAGAAGTGAGTGCTGAGGTGCAGAGAGAGACCTCCAGGAGAAGCCCTCTAGTTCTAACCTAAGGATTGAAAAGGGAACTCCTAATGCTCAGAGAGTGCTTCCCCTCCCCCTTTTATTTTCTCAGCTCTCTCCTCCCAGAACCCTGTGCCCTCCCCGTTGTCATGGTGACAGTGGCAGCTAAGGGAGCTTACCAGAACAAAAACTGAGAGTAGGGGAACTTTCCTCTCCTTTGGGATAAACTGCAGTTTCTAGACTGTGGGAACAAACCTCACTATTTTTATTTTCTCTGTCCTCTGACCACTTCACTCCCAATAAGGTCAAAATCACTGACAGGAAAGAAAGGGAAGCAATAGGAAGCAAAAATTACTGGAAGGCTGTGGAGAGAGAGAATCTTGAGATGGAAACTCTTTAAAGTGCTTTAAGAATTCACACGCTCAGTGCCCTCCTCTAACTGCTTGAGTGTGGATCTCATCCTAATTACCATACCAAAGACTGAACTACCAAGGCTCCAGATTGAACTCTGGGTAAAGACCAGAGAGTAAATACTTTTGGCTTCGTGGGCTATATTGTTTCTCTTGAAATGGCTCAACTTTGCCATGGAAGCATGAAGGCAGGCATGGACAATTAAATTAATGGATATATCAGTTTCAATAAAATTTTATTCACAAAAACAGGTTTAAGCCCTCAGACCATAAGTCAATAGAAATACATGACATTGTTTATCCCAGCTAGAGGTGAGTAACACGTCTCTGTAGGCAGAAGAATGGTTTTGTATTCAGTCCGCCACTAGCTGCTGCTTTGAAACTGAAAGTACATTCTAGCTTTGTTTTCTCATCTATAAAAAGGTTAAATTCATAGGACAAACTCCACCCATATTTTCTGAACATTAATTTTAGAAAAATGCCTAATACAAAGTAACCTCTCAATAGGTGCTGGCTTTAAATAATATTATCTTTATATAATGTGTATATTTAAATACATACAAAGAAATAAACATTGTGATACACTTTAATGTATTTTACAAATATATGTTTAAAAAGGACACTAAAGTCTTAATAGTGATGGTGCACTGCAATGATCAATTTCTGGAATCAGGGATATAAGCTAGACTTTCCTTAATTGTTAAAAAAAATTTTTCCCTTTTCCAGTTTCTTTCCTTTTCTACTACTGACAAAGGTTCTTTCCTTGATCAAACCCAGGCTCTGGAATTTTCTCCTAGGCCCATTTGTGCACTTCCTTGTAAAATCCAGTTTTACCAAGAGTTACTTTAACCAAGAACTCCATCCTCTATTATCTCCCAGTTTGTGTCTACTGAACCTGTCCTATCTTCAGTGAGAATCCTATTAGCCAGAATCCCTCTTGCCCCTAATATTTCATCTTAGAAAATTTTTTTATCCACTGACTCCCACCTCAGTCCTTGGCTATAAATCCCCACTTGTTATGCTGTATTCATACTTGAGCCTAATCTCTCTCTGACTGTAAAATCCCACTGCAGTGGTCCCCAAACCTATTATAATGATAATCTGCCTTACCATCTTTAATGTGTCATTGAATATTTTTGTTTTACATTTCTGCCAGCATATATTCCTGTTTCAAAACAACAGTAAGATTGTCAACAGTTCTCTTTAACATTACCATCAGCATGTATTTCTCTTTCAAAAAAATCAATAGGATAGTCAACATAGCAAAAAAAGTATAAAGGACAATAAAACCTACTAATAAAGTATAGCAGATGACAGTGTTTTTATGTTGGGATTTCCTCTCTTTCCCTAATCTTCTCTAATATTCCTTAAACATTTCATCAGAAAGCACACAATAATCAAAATAATTAGAAACAAAAATAAAATATGCATGACATCTGAGGATGTATAAACTACCATGAGCAAGGTGCTGATTAAGCTGTAAGATCAGAAACTACCTTCCTTGAACAAATAATGGATTTGTAAACAAAATTGTTAGAATCCAGCCATGCAGGTTCATTTGTATTGGTCTACGGCTGCTTTCATGCTACAGCTATATAGGTAAATAACTAGCACAGAGATCATTTGGCCCTCCAATCTTAGAATACCTAGTATCTGGCCCTTTGCAGGAAAAAAAAAAAGCTAACTTCTAAATTACTGAGTTTGGGAAATATTTTCCAAGAAAGAAGAAAGAAAAAGTCAGAACTGGGAGAGTAACATAGGTGAACCAAAGGCAGTATCAACTGAAAAAACAATTTGGGAAATGAATGCTCAGTTCTCAGGTGAAAGCTTTGGTAATGGAGTAAGTCAGGATACATAGAAAAGCAAAGCTCAGTAGCTGTTTTAAAAGTAGTGAAACTTTTTCAACTTTGCACAAAAAAAAAGTTTTAAGTAATTTAAAAAAAAAGAATTTTATAATAAATATTGAAACTTTGGAGGGGAAATTTGACCTTGAAGTCCCGAAGTGTTTTCTCATATTAAATGCATTTTTTTAGAAAATTAGTTAAACAATAGAGAGGCAATAGCGAATATTAAGGACAATATAGAAATTATTAAAATAGTATTCTATATTTTTAAAGACATTCAAGTTCAGTATTATTGAAAAACATTTAAATTTTCAGATGAATGCAATAAACAAAATTGAAAAGGGTTAATATTTTTAAAAGGGAGGGTCTAAATTACGGGTTTAGGCAATGTTTATACGGCTAGCTTTCTCTAGGGAAGAGACGGTTGTGGAAACATCACAGTACGTATTTTTCTTAGAAAAAAACAAAAAGAGGTTAATATAAAATTAAAGAGAAAATTTCGAAATAACGATACTATGCCTAGAGTGGAAAAATTTCACTGGAAGTTTACTCATATAATCTGTTAAGTCTTCGCGGTGCAAACGAGCCACAGGAAATTCCCAGCCGACACCTTAAAGCGGACGGACCCGGAGGAGGGCGCGGAAACGGAAACCCGGAGGGAAAGCGACGATACACTTGGTTCCGCCCCGCCCACGCCGCGCAGGCGCTTACGGGATGAGCTCCCGGGGCCGCGGGCTGGCCTGCAAGTCATGTGACCTTCCCACAAAGCCCTGCGAAGGAGCCGGCGGCGCTGTGCAATGACGCATTTCCGTCAGGCTGCCGTGCTAGACAGGAAGCGCTAACGGGGGCTGGTGCGGCTGGTGTCCGACCCGCCGGGTATGGGGGCGCGACTCCGCCGCGGAGCCTCGAACACATGTGTCAGGCTTCTTTATCAGACTAGGAACGTTTTCAAGAAGAATGACCTATTAAGCCTTTAGCCTAAGAAATTACACTCATGAATTACGGTGTGACTGATGAGGAAAACGTTGTGTTTGTAAACACGCACGTACACAGTTCCGCAGGGAGGAACGTGACGCAATGCAACGTCAACTGAACTAGTTTTATAACCAAATATGAATTGTTCATGTGTCCATAGCAATACACTCCCGTACATCTGTTTGTAAATAAAATCAATCAGCCTAATAGGATTCACACCAACCTTTAACCCTTTGGTTACACACAGAAACATGTTAAGTGGATCTAGGTCAGGCTTCCCTGTTTCTTCACCGAGAATATTTATGAATCCTCTCCTCCCTAACAGTTATGCATTATGTTTCACTTTTGAAATACATATTTTAAAAAAATCCTGCTCAAAGGAACACAGGCATTTCCGGTTCCTGGATCTTGTCTCTTCTTTTGAACTTTTATTTAGCTTGCTATTGGCCTCCCATTTTTGTTGATGCTAGATGGCGCTGTGAGCTCAAGGGTCCCTGGTTCCCCGCAAAAAGTGTAGTGTGTACTTCTGAAATTTGAGAAGGTGGGTTTAAGGCGTGAAAGTAACCTCTGCTTGGAGCTGAACTGCCTCTAGGAGGAGAGTTCATGATCTGACTCCACGTCTTTCACGTGGAAGTTTATAACTCATTCAAAAGAAGGTTGTACGCTGAAAATTCTAAACTTTTCTGTTCCCATTTTCCCTGGACTTTTGGCTGCCTCTCATTTTCCCTGTCCCTTTCTTTTCCCTTTCCTACACGGAGTCTGCGTCTAAACCCCGTATTTTTCCTTCAGCCTTTAAAAGAGTCCCAAATTCTTATTTTACTGTCACATCAGCTGTGTTCCTAGTAAGCAGATTTCCATAGTAGCCTGATGAAACACAGAAAACTATAAAATCCGAGCAATTAACATGGAATAAAATCCTTCAAATGTCTACCCCAGGCATGTATTTCTAGATTTCTTCAAGTGTACTGAAATTGCTACTTTCTATGAGATACCACAATTATTTTGACTTCTAAACATGCCTACCTGAATACACTCCCTTCTTTTGTCTTCCCAAGCTGTAATTCACAAGGCTTTTTGATATGTATTATGTATTCAACCACAAATTGTTTTCTTTAGGAAAACTTCAAAGACGATTTAAATTCAAGTTGCATGCTAAAACCATCTTGTGGGTTGCAACAGAGTAACGCATTCCCCGCTACAATCACAGATTTCCATTGCCTATTCAAATCTCAACTTCACTCATGTCTCAAATAAAGGAGAAACTTTACCTTTGTTGTTCACTTGTTCATTCTTCACATGCAGCAAAATACACACCACGTGGTTGCTACTCAGTTTTCTTAGTTTTCAAAAATTACTGGGTCAAAATCAGTTGTCTTCCTATACATCAATAAAGAATAATTTTATATTGAAGTTAAAATATATTTTACAACAACATCAAAAAACATGATATACTAAAAATCTGACAAAGCATGTGCAAAATTTGTACTCTGAATATTACAAATACTTATGAGATTAATTAAATAATATTTAAATAAATGTAGAGATACACCAATTTCACTGACTAGAAGGCTCAATATTTTTAAAATGTCAATTCTCACAAGTTTATCTAAAATTCTTAGCACAGTCTCCAGTCAACGTCCCATCATTAATATTTGTAAAAGTCAAAAAGTGGATTCTAAAATTTATGTGGAAAAGTAAAGGACTTAGAATAGTCAAACCTCATTCAGAAAATGAGGAGCAATGTTGGATGATTCACATAACTTATTTCAAGGCTTAATATAAAGCAACATCAACCAAGATAGTGTGATATTGGTGTAAAGATAGACATTTAGATAAATGGAACAGCATAGCATTCAGAAATAAACCTACATATATATATGGTCAGTGGATTTTTTACTAATGTGCTAAGAAATTCAATGGAGAAAGAATAGTATTTTCAGCAAGTGGTGGCAGGACAACTGAGCAGCTATATGCCAACAACAACCACAAAAAATTGTCCATCCTTATTTTACACTATATACAAAAATTAACTCGAAATGCATCACAGATATAAAACCTTAACATATAAAATATCTGAATAAAGCATAGCAATTAATATTTGTGACTTTGGAAGAAGCAAAGATTTCATAGATAGGACAAAAATATTATAAACCATGGAAGGAAAAAATGGCTAAATTGTTCTTCATCAATATCAAAAAAATAAATCAACTCTTTGAAAGAGACTATTAAAGAAAATGACAAGAGATGCCACAGAGTTACAGGAAATATTTTCAATATATAACTGGAACATACCTTATATCAATAATTATGTATATATTAAAATTTAACAATGATAAAATGAAAAACAGAAATTTTAAAGTAGGAAAACTGATACTTAACCAAAGAAGAGTTGGTAGACAAGCCCATAAAATATGCTCATATGAATATGCTAAATAGTATTGTCATTAGAAAGATGTAAATTAAAACCACAATGAGATGCCACTACACATCTACTGGAATGATTTTTAATAAGTAAAAAAAAATTACTGTCAATACCAAATACTAGGAAAGATGTGGAGAAACTAGAATTCTCACAGTTTGCTGTTGGGAATGTGAAATGGCATAGCCACTTTGGAAATAGTCTGGCGTTTTCTTGTGAAGTAAATCATACATATATTACATGATCTAGCAACCTTGCTATTATGTATTTTTCCAAGAGAAATGAAGCTATATGTCCACGAAGGTGCTCTATCTAAATGCCTATAAAAACTGATTTGAGCTTTATAATAGCCCAGTCTAAAATAGGAATGAAATATCCATCAAGTGGTAAAAAGATTAACAAATTCTAGTACATTTATTCAAAACTACAGCTCCAAATATAAAAGGAATAAAATACTGGTAAGTGGAAACATGTGAATGAATCACAAAAGCATTATTCTAAGTGAGAAAAACTAGACAGAAAAAAAATTGCATACAGAATGATTTCATTTATATGACATACTGGAAAAAGGCAAAACATGCTAGATATGATCAATAATTTTCAAGGCTATGTGTGGGTAGAGTTACTACAAAAGAGCACAACAGAAATTTTGGAGGTGATGAAAAATGCTCTATATCTTAATTATGATGGTGGTTGCATGACTGTATATGTATTTTTTTAATACATTGAACTGTCTACTGGAAAATGATGGCTTTCAACTTAATAAATCCAACTTAAAATAAAATGGGTTATTGCTTGTTTTCAGTCTTTCCTTCTTTAAATTAGGAGGACCCTTTCACATGTTAAAAAATATGATTATCCCTTTTTTCTTAGTAGATTTGTCAATTTTTATCTCCTACTCAGGGATAAAATGGTAAGAGTCCTGCCTACATAATCAGACTTATCTCCTGCCCCAATGCCCACTGACAGTTTTATGAACAGGTCATTCTTACTACCTTGTTACCTTTGAACATCTTTACCTCTGGGTAGTTATTCCCTTATTTCCATAGCCTTGAAATCTGTATTTGTACTTGTTATGGACTGAACTGTGTCTCCCCCAAATTCATGCGTTGAAGAGATAATCCCCACACCTCAGAATGTGAATGCCTTTGGAGAGAGGGCCTTTAAAGGGGTGATTAAGTTAAAAATTAGGTCATTCGGGTGGGCCTTAAATCAATCTTACTGGTCCTTATAAGTAAAGAAAATTTGGACACACAAAGAGACACCAGAGTTACTAACACAGAGGAAAGAAGACGTGCAAACACAAAAAGGAAAGATACCATATGAGGACACAGCAAGAACACAAGCCAAAGGAGAGGCCTCAGAAGAAACCAAATCTCACAACACCTTGATCATGGACTTCCACCCTCCAGAACTGTGAGAAAATTAATTTCTGTTGTTTTCACCACCCACCCTGTGATGTTTTGTTATGGAATCCCTAGCAAATTAATACAACACCCTAATAACTAACTCAGTCAGCATCTAGCTTTAGAAAACTTACCCCCGGCCACTCAGGTCATTCTCAACTTTCCCTTTGGATTTGATAAAATTCACTGAGCTTAGGTTCTGCCTTTCTCTTCCCCATTATAACTTTTCAACTGTACTTCTTGCTCAGTGGTTCTGTTCCCATTTAATATTCTTCATTTTAAAAGAGTCAGTGATGGCCAAGAAACTGGAAGAGTGTATACAGTCATTACAGATATCACATGAATTTGGGGGGCGGGCAACTTTGAGGGGCTGCAATGTGAACCTTTGGGAATCTCTAAACACATCAGGGCACTCCTTCTATGGGGACAGTTTCCAGTGGAGGACAACTTGGCCTCAGGAAGGCCAGAAAAAACAGTAACAAGGTTAAGTATTCAATTTGTAAGTAAATAAAGCACTTAAAATAGCGAGCTCCATTTTGCTTCAATGAAAATGAGGAAATTTTAAATTCTTACTACTCGTTTGATTAAAAGTTTGAGTCAAATATGACAATTCTGAGACTAGTAATGCTGTTTTGGAGAGCATAAATTAATGTTCTCACATATAAGAAGAATAATAGCACACTTGTTAGATAATAACATACAAGTAACTTACATGTTACTTGTTATTTTTATAGAGAAACTGAAACAAAATTTTAATCAGTGTTGTAAATATAAATGACGTATCTTCACATTGTGCATGTGGTAATGCAGATGAAAATGAAAACTGAGTTACTAATGATGGACTGTCTGTCTGAGCTATAAGCCCTATTTGTCACATACAAATCAATGTATTCATCTATGTATTAATTCAGCATCTAGGTGTTTTCACCAGTGAGGTCAGAGGAAATACCCTAGGCTCTGTGGATATAGGAGTGAAAAGTCAAATAGAATTATCTGTCTCCAAAATGCTTACATTCTGGTTCTTGTCTTCCAGGTTCTGTAAGTAGAAAACTCGTCAACATGGTGCTTGTTTCAAGAAAGGCATCATCCCCATTGTATCTTTATTTTGTTCTTTTAAGTTTGTCTTGTCAATCATCTGTAGTGAGAATCTGCATGTTCTCTGTGTTTTTTTCCCATCTAACTGCCAGCTTGCTCCACCAAATTTGACTACTGAACCTAGACTTTTGGTAGCTAAGACCTACCTATCTATCAATCTATCAGTGTATCTCAATATGTGACAGTATTACCTTTTAAAAACTAAACTGTAAAATATTATAATTGTAATAAACTACACACAAATATAAACTTTACCATCTTAACCATTTTTAAGTGTACAGTTCAGTAATATTAAGTACATTCACATTGTTGTACAATCAATCTCTAACATTATTTTCATCTTGTGAAAATGAATCTGTGCACATGTTGTTTGAAGCAACTCTCCATTTCTACCTCCTCCCAGCCCCTGGGGATTGCCATTGTATTTTCTTTATGAACTTGACTACTCTAGGTACTTTGTATAAGTGTATTCATACAATATTTAATTTTTTGTGCCAAGTTTATTTCACTTAGCATAATGTCCTCAAGGGTCATCCATTTTGCAGCATGTGTTAGAATTTCCTTTCTGTGAATGCTGAATAATATTCCATTATATGTGTAAATTACATCTATTAATTTGTTGCTAGACACTTTGATTGCTCCCACCTTTTGGATATTGTGAATAATACTGCTATCAGCACAGGCATAGATACCTATTCAAGACCCTGTTTTCAATCTTTACAGATACATACCCAGAAATAGAATTGTCGGGTAATATGATATTCTGTATTTAATATTTTGAGGAAATAACTGCCTTTTTTCCTATAGCACCTTTACCATTTTATGTTCCCACTAGCAGTGCACAAGGATTCTAATTTCTCTACATCCTCACCAGCACTTATTCTTTTCTGTTTTTCTATTTTTTGTTTATTTTATAATAGTCATTCTAATAGGTATGAGGTGGTATCTCATTGTGATTTTGATTTGCATTTCCATATTGATTACTTGTGTTGAGCATCTTTCCTGGTATTTTTTGGCCATCTGTATCTCTTCTTTAGATAAATGTTCATTCATGTACTTTGCATATTTCTTATTCAGGTTGTTTGTTTTGTTGTTGTTGAACTGTTGAAGTTCTTTATATACTGGATTAACGCTTTGTCATCTATGATTTGCAAGTATTTGATCCCATTCCATAGGTTGCCCTTTCAGTCTATTGCTTGTACCCTTTAATGCACAGAATTTTTCATTTTGGTGTACTCCAGTTTACCCATATTTATTTTTGTTGCCTACACTTTTGGAAGTATATCCAATAAATCATTGTCAAGTCAAATGCCATTAAGTTTTCCTTCTATGTTTTCTTCAAGGAGCTTTACCGTTTTAGACCTTACATTTAGGTCTTTGATCCTTTTTTTTTTTGCATATGGAATTGTTTTTGCATATGGTATAAGATCAGGGTCCAAATTTACACTTTTGCACGTGGATAACCACCTCTTTTTGAAAAGGCTTTCTTTCCCACATTGAATGATCTTGGCACCCTTGTGAAAAATCATTTGCCCATGCATGCAAGGCTTTATGTCTGAGCTCAACATTCTATTCCATTGGTCCACAGAGCTACCTGTATGCTGATACTACACTGTTTAAAATACTGTAGATGCGTAATAAATTTTGAAATCAGGATGTATGAGACTTTCAGCTTTGTCCTTTTTTGAGATTATTTTGACTATTCAAGACCTATTGAGATTCTGTATGAATTTAAGGTTGCAATGCTGTCTTTGATACTGATAAAATTTCTCTCGTTGACTGAACTCAAGCCAGGTTCCTCTGAGCCTTCTTCTCAACTAAGCATAAACCTTGACCTATAAGAACTACAGATTCCAGCACCAATGAGTTTGTCCATCCTCCTCCCAACACGTTAAAAGACTTAAAGAAATATTAACATAGTCTAACAGCTCAATCCCTAGGATGAGCCAAAGCTGCCCCGAAAAATTATTGTTTGTTCCAGCCAACACCTGATCCCTTTTCCTTAGAGCATTTACTAAAAAGGGCTCACATTTTTGACCCTTTCTCTGTCCCTTTGAGTTGTATATGCTCCTCTTTCAACTCAGGGGAGTCTTTCTCAGGGGCCTGAAAGCTACTCTTTTGAAATAAAATTAGGGAGGATAGGGCCTTGTCTCCAAGCCTCTGTGGGAGAGCAACTTAACTTCAGCAGCTGTCAGCTATCAGGCATAGCTGGCTTAATCACATTTACAGGAACCGACCCTTTGTCATTCTCCTCTTCCCTAATCCACTGAGCTCCCACTCACCTCCCTCCCTTCTCCCCCCATTCTCTATCTAAAATGCCTAGTCACCTCTGCACAAATAGAAAGTTGAGTTCAGTTCGCACTGGACTCTCTTCCCCACTCTAGTAATATATCATCGATTAAAATTTGTCCTTACTGCTACTTCGTGTGCATGCTTTTTTTTTTTTTTTAATGAAGGGAGGCACTTAAATGTCTTATTTTACTTTTAAAATCTTGGCACTTAGGTAAACATTGTATGATAGGTTCTCTGATTGTGGAAGCTGACACTGCTAGTATGGGTCACAGCCTGGGGGCATCTCCCACACAGAGGCTATGTGGAGAGGTTATACTGTCACCAGGCCAAAGGTGAGATATCAAGGCGGTTTCCCAGTGTAGCATTCAAAGGATATGCTGCAGAGAATGAAACTAAGAGCCTTGAGTAAGGAAACTAAGAGCCTTGAGTAAGGTAAGCAGACAAATCATGTAAAATGCCAGACTTTTCTTTTTTTGCTACTTACATGCTGTTGGCAGGGGGCTTTCCTGTTGAGATTTGTGAAGTATGGTTGCCGGGGCTGATTTCTCAATCTTGTCATTTTCTGCGTGGCTTTGGGCAAGTTTCTTAACCTGGCTGCACCTCAGATTTCTGATCTGTAAACAAGAGTAATTTAGTCATTAATAAATAGCAAATAATTAGTAAATAATAATGAGAGTCCTGATATGATATTTTGAAACTCAGAGGTGATAATCCATTCGAGTATATTACTACGGCGAATACATCCTGGTGTCTGTGTTGTCGAGCATGTTTCTAGGAAGTCTCTGCGTTGTCCTCACTGCAGGGCTGTCGAGTGTCGGGGGGAGCTAGGACTTAGCCCAAGTGCTGTCTCCTGGAGGTAAGTCTACAAACCAGACCTTGGGATGTCAGGTTTCTACGTGGGCAGTCACAAACCGAATCCCTGTGCCCATTCATCCAGGTGACTATTCCAAATTCCCTCCTGACTCTACATCCAGAATCAAGCGGTAAGTTTTAGCCAACTTGGAGACGGGTGAAGAAGGCGTATCATTGGTTCTGTGTGGCTTTTTCATTTTGCACTGCTGCTCACAATTTAAGAAACATCTCTCCTCAGAAAATAATAATATGAATTCATTGAGCTAAGTGACTGTTATTAACATATCTAACTCCCACACATCTCTATGGGGTGGTCATTTCTGTTATTGGCATGGGGCATAGAGTAAAATCAGATATTTAATAACTGACTGACAGTCTTTGATCTAATCAGTGGTACAAACAGAAAGCCTCACAGTCAATTCCCCAAGTTTGATACCAGCTTTTTACCACTGGCCACATTTGAGGCTCATGTAAAGATGAAAACCACACTAGAGATGTGGCACTGCTCTCTGCCTCAAGTTGCCCAGAACATTCCCCAAATGCAGGAGCAGAAAGTGTGACAGACACTGCATGTTGATTCCCTTAAGATCTATCTCAGTGCACCTTATTGAACAGTCCTCCAAGTCCAGTGATAAGCAGAGAGTGCGACCATGCCAGCTCCCATGCAGACAGGATTGTCATGTACATCACTGTCCCACTGAGACGTGGGTCACAGAACTATGGGAGCAGCGCAGAAGCAAAAGGCAAAGACACAGGAAAAGTTATTGGAACCTGTCCCTCAGCCCTTTGTCTTCCTGAATGCAAAAAGAAAGGTCATTACATGTCATAGCCATCTTGCAACAAGTCCAAGGGTGAAGGACTATACATTAGAGATGAAGCAAACTATATGCATAAGTGGATTGAACCTCTCATATGGACCCCAATCTGCCTCTCTAATGATTCCTGTTATATGTGGCTGATAAACTTACATTACAAAGTAACATAAGTAGAGTTTTCTGTTTATAAAATCAAAACAAAATTATCATCAAAAGGAAGAGAAACCAGTAAAGCTTATCGCGTTTGTTTCATCTCCAGTTTCCTTTAAGTTGGGGAACCATCTCTGCGCTTTGCAACATAAATGCCACATTCTATGTAGTTTGCATGAGCATAGGGCTGCTATTCGCAGGCAGTAAAATTAAGATGATTGGTGAAAGGCTCTAATAACGTGAAAATGAGGGATATTTTTGAATTAAGATCTGATCTTTAAATTCTCTGTGTAGAGTATTGACCCCCAGAGCCCCTGAATTCAGCCATACATACATATACTTTGGAGTAAAAATATCCATGAAGTATCAATGCTTTTGCCCTGTTGTTGATCACAACACATGATTAAGATCAAGTGCCTCCCACCCCAGAATAGTTTTTAAACCATTAGATCAAGGATTTAATTACTTGCATAGCATCTCAGAGATGCACCCTGTGAGGCTGTTTCCTTTAAAAGAGAAAGAGAAGGGATAAATTGGGAGTTTGAGATTTGCAGATACTAACTACTATATGTAAAATAGATAAACAGCAAGTTTATATTGTATAGCACAGGGAACTATATTCAATATATTGTAGTAAACTATAATGAAAAAGAATGTGAAAATGAATATATGTATGTATATGTATGACTAAACTATTATGCTGTACACCAGAAACAGACACAACATTGTAAACTGACTGTACTTCAATTAAAAAAATTGTGTTTTAAAAGAGAATGTGTTCCTGCTGACATTCATGCCCACTACACTGAAGGTCCTAAATAAATCCTACTTTGCTTGTTGGAGTCTTGAATCTTTTTCTACCCTCGTCTTCCTTTTGTGTCTCTTAGTGGCTTTGGATGAGGAAATCCCGGTTCAGCTCAGGCTGAAGAATCATGTCTTCACTCTTCAGGACAGTCAGAAGACTATTCACAAACAAACTATTGTCAGAGAAGTGTCAGAAGTTCAGCCTGAAATAATGGGCATTGAAGAATCAGATAAATAATAGAAAGGTGGACAAATAATTGACTAAGTCAACAAAAAATGAAAAGTTTTAAAAGTTGCAAGAATCAAATTCTTTTTAACATATGGTAATTGACAAAGAGTGATAAATAAAAGATTGCAATTTCATTTCTGCAAGACCATATTATAAAAGTATGTGTTGCCTGGAACAGATGTATGAAAACATATTCTGAGCATTTTTTATTTCACTGAAAGCAATTTTGCTATCAACTCAACAGAGAGTAAGAAAATAATAAATATGTATATGACAGGCCATCTGTACAAGAAACATCACACATTTCTAAAATGAGGTGGAAGTGATCACAGGCTCCAACCAATGTCTACTCTTGGGTAAGGATAAAGGCAAACAGAATAACAAAAGTCATACTTGCACAGTAAAGAAGTGTCTGGTCTCCACATTCAGAGTGGAAGTCTTAGTGTTCTGTCTACACAAATGAATGACTTTGTTAATCTTTCACAATTAAAGCAGAGTAAGCCATATGATAAAATGTCCCCAGCACTTTCTTAGCATGAATCTCAGAGCAAATTTTACGTTGTGGTTCTTAGAGAAGACTCTGACCCCTCTCTTTTCCCACCAGATGTATGTCAGAAGATTTCTGGAGAATCCTAAAAATGCAACATCTGGCTTTCCTAAACAAACAAATTCGCATTCGATTTAGTAAAGAGTGATGCTTGAAAAGATTGAAATAATTGAAAAGATTCTTTGAAAAGTGATTGTGAATGAATTTTAAAAAAACAAGAATGAAAGATAAACACAATTTAAAAAAACACAAATCTGGTTGTAGACAATGTTTATATGATTTAAAAAAATGAGAATATACACACGTTAAATACATTTGCATGCCAAAACAAAAAGCAAGAAGGAACATCACAAGGCAGGGCCTGAAGCGGTAACATACAGCAAGCAGTGTGATTTCTGAACAAACGTGTTCTTTATATAAATTCTCCAACCGGCCCCAGAGGGAGAGCAGGGAGCAGCTGGCGTCGGCTGTGCAGCCGATCCGCAGGGAGGCCCCCAGCTCCGCGGCGGCGCCGAGTGAGGCCCTTGCCGGGCGAGGTCCGGACAGCGCCTGGAGGGGCATTGCGCACGCGCGGGGGCGCTTTGCGATGCTGTTTCTCGGGCTCCCGCCGCCACTGGCTGTCGCTGGCGCGGAAAGTGTAAATTCCCAGAAATTCCAGAGAGCAGGGAAAGGACAAGAGGAGGCGTGCCGTGGAGTAAAATTCACTCAGAATGCACCCAAAAAAATTAACTTGGAGAGTGGTGTTGAGAGATTGCCTAAGATTCACAAGGACTTTAGAGACAAAAGCTACAATAGGGCATGGCATCTTCCATGGTGTCCTCGCGGCCGCGGTGGGAAATCAGCTGTAAAGCGTGGGGGACAGTTGGAGAATTTTTAACAAGAATCACGAGTTTAGTGCATATCGCCCTCATTTTTGTATAAAGTAGTCTAAGTATGTGGTTATAGAGGAATATCCTTATTTTGTGAAAATGCGGGTAGAGACCTCACGATGTTTTATTTACTCTAAAATTGTCCACTTCCCACGTGTGTACAGAGATGAGCTTACTGTAGAAATGTGTTAATAATTTTGAATCGAGGTGCATGGATATACGTGTTCATTTTACTATTCATTTTGCTTTTCTAAAGGAAACTTTCATTTTCATTATAAATGTATCTTCTTTAATTCAAGGGAAGTTATCTGTCAAATTGTATACCAAAATGGTAAAAGTACTAGAACAACATATATAGCAATAATTCCCTTGAGTATTTTCCAACTTTCTATAAAATAAATTGTTTTAAAACAGGTCCCCTTTGTGTGAGCGGCTGAGGACCACCTTCATCCGTGGTTCTCTCCGAGAGCTTTTGGCTCCCGCATGTGGACACCAGGTGGCGCTGTGACCCGCCGCTCCGAACGTTCTGATCGCTGTCTCCATCCCGCCTGCACATGCACAATGAGGGGACAGAAGGCTGCACTCGGGCGGGGTGGGGAGGGGGTGTGTGAGGTGGGGAGACAGACAGGTGAACACGAGCACTCAAAGTCCCTCGCACTTGCTCTGCGCGGGCCCGGAACCCCTCCTGGAATTCTCCAGGGACCTCCCCAGTAGGCAGGGACCATCCTCACTTGTTCTGTCTTCCCAACACGCAGATCTCATGAGCCTGGGGTAAATGTCAAGGAACAACACCCAGACGTTCAAAATAACTCAACACCCAGACATTTCTCTGTGGGCTGCCCCTGCTTCACTTCCTGCCCTCTCTCACCTGGCCAGTCCCACCAAGCTCTGCCCTCCATGTTCCGGACATCTTCACAAGTTACCGTCCCTTTGTTCCCTCAGATGCACTGGCCTTGCCTGAGGTGGGGACAGGCTTTTCATTTTCTCCCCGCCCCCTGCCCCGCCTGCTGTTTGCCCCCCCCCCCCTTTCACACTTGAGCACTCCCTCAGATAAGCTCCTCCAAGAGGCTTTCCTTGTGTGTCCTGCCCCAGGTCCTGTTCCTGTTTTGGAGCTCCCAAGCACAGCTGTCTACTCACAGTTTAGTTTCTGAACTCCCACTGGACTGAAATCTCAGAAAATACAGAAACTTCATCTGTGCTAATCCCCCATGACCACCCCTCACATGTAGTGGACACAGAGTGACAGAGAAGATTTTCTTCTCACTGAGGTTCAAAACCAAATAAGGCTATTTCAGTCTCTCACATCTCTCACCTCTAATCTTGTCACCTTCCTTATAGTCCCCTAGTTTCTGCAAATATGAACTCACTTTGAGTCTGAATACACTCCCCTAGGGAGTCAGCACTGCAGGGTGAGAAATCACAGGACACACAGGGTTCCTTTCCCCCTCCTTTGTATTGAACTGCACAAAAGAATGGATCTCTCAAACTCCTCACCTATATTTTTGCCTACTTCATCATAAACCTCAACTTTCATTTAATTCAAAGAGGATTTGCAATTGAATATTAAAGTGTTTCAATTGTTCACTTTTGACCTCTTGACAGGACATGAGCTCTGACTTCCAGGAGCCTCTTTTATAGTCTCTGCATTCTCACACCACTATTTTAAGACCCCCGATGTACCAGGTACTCATCTCACCCATAACTCTTCTTTCCTTCTAGGCAGTTTTAGTAAAATTGTAGTCACAAGAGTCAGCTCTATTATAGTAGCTCCTTTGAGAAATATTTCCAGATCCTTATTAGTTACTGTAGTTTACACAGTTTAGTATGTGTTTAGTTTTTCAAATTTTACCAAAATCACTGCTAGGATGTGGTTTTCATTGTCTGCACATGGCTGAAATTTTGTGTTGTCACCTTCTGGTAGACCACCTGCATGAAAACTTGCAGAATGGGTGTCAACAGGAATGGTGGAAATCACACATACAGCGTTGCAGCCCCTTTTATGAATACATGTTTCATGCCCATCACTCTTCATGCCACAGAGGGTAACGATAAAACATCCATCATCCTAGGTCAAAATATTATTCAGAACAATCAGAATCACGAATGTCAAGATATTTGTAAATTCACTACCGATTAATTTCAAATTTGCCTTCATTTCTGTGTGACACAAATTGTGTCTTTATAATTCTTGAAAGCCTTTTTACATGCGTATAAAAATAAGGCAATTAGGTATGTACTAGTTTAATTGACAGAGACATTACCTTTCTTTTAATGCATTTTAAGCCTTTGTTTCACTAGCATGAGGTGGATGCTCCCTACTGAGATGCCTACAGACTACACACAGACCATTTCTGACTTCCCTCGGTGTAGCGAATGTGAGTTTACTTATCTTCCTTTGTGAGTTTCACTCACATTGTTCCTTATTCACCATAATATCTCCAGCAAGAAGCATACAGCGAGGGGTACAGTCATCATTGAGTAATTACAGAAGGAACAGACCAAGATGTTACAGGAAAAAAAGAACAGGAATTAGATATATTTTATCATATGTGAAAACAAAAACCAAAATATATAAAGCAGTGGTTTTCAAGATACTGTATATCAGACAGTAAAGGACAGTGGTCCCTGAGAGACATGAAATAATGGCATTAGCCTTACTATTTCCCCAGCTTACTGTTTCCGAGACAGTTTCCAGGCTGTAGTGTGACAAGGATCTTGGCAGAATTTCTGAGTTGAGAATATGGAACTAAGTGTCTGGAAAAGTAAGGTGGCTTGATTTCCCAGACCCAAGTTCTGGGGGAGGAGAGAATTAATCAGAGAGAAAATTCTGGAGCATAGTAAAAGATCAAGCAGTGCCTGTGAGTTAGGAACCTCCCCCACATCCTGGGGAGAAAAAAAAACCTGAGAGGATCAGAGGTACCTCCTGTTTACACAAGGTTGAGAGTAACACCTGTTTTCATCAGCCAGACTGATAAACTTCAGGATTCACAGGACATTGGAGAGAGGACACAGAAGTGTCTTTCCTCAGTAGTGAAGAATAATTGATCTTAGATTAAATACAGGTCTGGATCCAATAGCTAATATTACATGCAAGATGTAGAATTATGAAGCTGTTCCCAAGTAATGAACCAGAACAAAGCTCAAGAATATTTGTCAGAATACAAAAATGTAAAGCACACAATAAAGTATAATTCATAATACCAGACACCCCCCAAAACTTACCAGGCATGCAAAGAAAGATAAAAATATGACCAATAATGAGGACATAAATTTATCAATTGAAACTAGCCCTAAAGTGTCACCAATGTTAGAATTAACACAAAAACAGATACTATAGCTGTATCCATACATTTAAACAGTTTCTATAATTGCATTCTACAGTACAAAAGTTAAGTAGGGATGTCATAAATATAAAAGGCCAAAATAAAATTTCTAGAGAGGAATGTTTCAATGTAAATTATCACTTTTTAAAAACATGCTGAATAGAATTAACAGCAGGTTATAACTCAATAAAAAATGTTTAAAAAAAAGAATTAACAGCAGATTAGACTTTTCAAGAGAAAATATTGGTAAACTTGAAGACATGACAATAGAAACCACCCAAAATAAAAGACAGAGAGAAAGAATTAATAGAAATGAAAAAAGACATCAGTGAGCTGTGTGGCCACTTCAAGCAGCACCATATATAAATGACAGAGTGTAACGTTGACAGAAATGCATAAACCGTCAGGTTCAGAGGCTCAGTAAACTTCTAGCGCAAGAGAAAATGAAGAAATCTATAAAGGCACACCTAAATCAAGTTTCTCTAAATCAGTGATAAAGAAAGTGGCTAGAGAACAAAAGACATGTTGGTACAGAGAAACAGAGATGAAGAAAACAACAGATTTCTCATTGGAAATAACACAAGCAAGATGAGAGTATGAGAGTGTATGCTTCAATTAAAAAGGATGGGGGGAAAAAGAAACAGAACAAACCAACATTACAGTTTGAAATTCCAGTACCCCTCAATATTTAGTAGAACAAGTAGGGGAAAATATCAGTAAAGATACAGAATATTTGGACAACACTATCAACTAATTTGATCTAATGGACATTTACAGATATATACGCTCCACTGGACAGCAACGGAGTACACACTCCTTTCAAGTGCACATGGAACATTTACCATGATAGACCACATTCTGGGACAAAAAAAAGTAAATAAATTTAGAAAGATTCAAGGCATACAAAACGCTAACATCCATTCTGGATCAAACCTATCACAAGAGTAGCCCAAAGAAGGGGTTTTCCTAAACCTGACAAAGAACATTTAGAAAACCTACAGCTGACATCATGCTTAATGGCAAAAGATTGATGTTTTTTCTCTTTAGGATTGAGACAAGGCAAAGATGTCCACTCTAACCATTTCTTCAACACAGTACCAGATGCTTTAGCTAATGCAATCCAGGAAAAAGAAATGAAATAATAGTCATATAGGTAGAAAAAGAAGACATAAAAGTATTTTGTGGATGATGTGATAGGTCTGTAGACAATCTTAAGGAATCTACCAAAGAACTCCTACTACTACTAAGTGAATTTAGCTGGATTACAAGTAAAAGTTTATCACAGTGCATGCATGTGCATACACACAGTAAAAAGAACCA